TTCGGCCCATCGTCAAATACAAACCCTAATGGATCCGGTCTCTACACATATAGTCCGGCCCACACTTTAATTAGATGCTTAAAGCCCAATTACTTAATTTCTTATTAGATCACTTTAATTTTGGGCTTAACTTTAAGATAGCGTTTATACACAATTAATTACATATGTCGGCCCATCACGGGAAATTAAATAATTTCCCAACAGATATCAGATTTATACACTAGATACCGTATTTGCAGGATAGATACCGTATTTGCAGGTCAGATATGCATGTTTGATACCGTATATGCAAGACCGATACTACATATGCAATACCGTAGATGCAAGACTGATACCGTATATGTAGTGAATTTAAATACTCGATTTTCACATACCCTTTTTGCATATAACTTTGAATATAACAGATTTAGTAAGACGTAACAAGTAATTTAAAGAGAACGGCAAAATACCAATATGCAAAAACGAGTAACAAATAGAAAAAAACGAATTAAACTGTAAAACTTTTAACTCGAGACCCGTGTTAAACACAATTTCCTTAAAACAGATTCGCCCCCTCACCGTTTGTGCTTGAGGTTTAAATCGAGCGTCCATTTCCCAGGATACAACAGTAAAACTAGTAGATTCTGAGCGCTACAGATACTATTCTAGCGAACTGATTTAGTGTCTGAACAATACCACCTCCAAGACTCAAACAGAATTTAAAAATGTATGCAGACATTATGTACTTTCAGATGAATTCGTCTGTATATGAAAAGTGAAAAACGAGACATACATAGACTTGGCTCTTGAGAATGTAACTTGTCCATTCACTTAGTGTTAATTACCATAGGAGTTTCAACAATTTCAGAAAATGAAAAGTCAGTTGAATAAAACAAAAATGTAGCAAAACGTAGACACTCCTAAGGGGCGAATTTTGCTCCTTTCGGTATGACATTCGTGTACGCTGGTTGCGCTCGCATACGAGTTTAAGGTCAGAAGCCTATTTCAGTCCATGATTTGCACCCTCTGCCTGCGCACTTGGAGAGAGCCTCTATACTATACATGATTACATCATTCTAAAGTGCAACCATATTTAAAGTGGTTTTTATTTTCATCAACTTCCTATGTGGGACAAACACATTTCTAGTTTTCCCACAACACAAACTCCTTTTAATTGACATACTTCGAGCTTCAATTTCTCATTCACCCGAGCATCAATTTTGACAAGTAAATACATGATTTCGATGTACTCACTGAGGAGAATACAGATCAATATTTATCTTCCAAAATAGCTAGAGGGTCCTACTCAAAACTCATGCCAAATTCAGCCACATGCTCATTTTCCAACATAAGAATTACAGCACTTTCCTTTTGCACCTCCCTCAAGAAGAAAAACTTGATGTTGAAGTGCTTAGTTCTCCCATGAAACACAAGATTGTGAGAAATTGCTATTGCCGCTTGGTTGTCCTCGAACACCTGAATACTGTCAGTTTGTTCCATGTGCAGATCAATCAGTATTTTTCTCAACTACAATGCTTGATTGACTGCTGCTATTGCAGCTACAAACTCTGCCTCTGCTATGGATTGAGCTACAATGTCATGCTTTTTTTAGAATACCATGAGAAAACTCCTGACCCAGAGCTAAAATAGTGCCCAGATGTGCTTCGAATGTCATCCATTGAGCTTCCCCAATTACCGTCAGAAAAACCAATTAGCTTGGATTCTCTGTTCTTCATGAACTTGATTCCATAATTTCAAGTCTCCTTGATGTATCTGATTAGATTACTCTCTTTGCTGCCTTCAAGTATATCTCACTCGGGCAGTGCATGAATCTAGACAAAATGCTTACATCATTCAAAATGTCTGGCTTTGTGGCTGTTAATTACATCAAGCAACCAATTAATCCTCTGAATTATGCTTCATCAACCTTGTCGCTGCATCTTCCTTGCACAATTTTTCTTTCCAATTCATGGGAGTTATCATTTCCTTGCACTCTTCCATATGAAATTTCTTAAGAATCTCCTTAGTATACTTTTTCTGGGAGATGAACACTTCATTCAATCCCTGCTTGATCTCCATTCCAAGAAAGAATGTCATTAGATCAAGATCAGTCATCTCGAAAGCCTCCATCATTTCCCTTTTGATTTTTTCGATCAAATTCATATTACTTCCTGTGACTAGAAGATCATCGACATACAATAAGATAACCAGAATCTTCATACCAGCACACTTGACATAAAGCGTGGATTCGACAAGCTTTTGATAAATTCAAGACTCGACAAATGCTCATCAATTCTGTTATTCCAAGCTCTTGGAGCTTGCTTCAAACCATAAAGAGCCTTCTTAAGAAGATAAACCTTATCTTCTTCACCTTCCTTCACAAAGCCTTCAGGTTGCTCAACGTATATTTTTTCTTGTAGAACTCCATTCAAAAAATTTGACATCTGGCTGATATACTATCCAATTTCTTTATGCTGCAATTGCAAGTAGCAATCTAATGGTGTCTAGCCTGGCCATTGGTGTAAATGTGTCTGAGTAGTCCATTCCAAAAATCTAAGCGTAGCCTTTAACCATATCATGTTTTTCTCAATCATATACAACTCCTCCTTCATTGCAACCATCCAGTTTTGATCCAGTTTTGCTTAATCAAAACCTATAGGCTCATAAACTAAAATGTTGCATCTCTGATATACATTAGAAAGCAATCTAGTGCCCCTGAAGTGTCATCCACCATCTCATTTTGCCAATCTTCAAAGCTTTGTTCAACCGTATTTCTA